AACACACCAACACACACACACACACACACACACACACTCACACCTGAACAAACCAAAACTTCTATAAAACAAAATGAGACTAAAATAAAATTAAAAGAATGTTTCAGGAATAAGAGAACTAACATATATATGTATCCTTTTGTTTCAGGTTACTGATGCTAGGACCCTCAGTAATACAGAACTGGTGACGATTAACATTAGCTGTTATCAAAACAATGTTTACCACCCACATATTCCTTTTGTGAGGAGGGAGTACAGGGGATCAACCACACACATTCTTACATGGGTCCTAAGCTTTGTCTATTAATTTTCAGAGAGGAAACAAGGCTCTGATAAAAAAAATCTCCTTGAACAAATCTTAAGGGTAGGCCCCATGCCCAGCAGTAGATGGCCAACATAAAACAAACTCAACAGCATCCTTGGAGGTTCTCTGTCTCATGTTAAAACCTTTTTTCTACCTTACAGGTCCTTTGAACATATACTATGGCTTCCAGTTTTGGGGATTTTATGGGATTCCTGTGTGTTCAAACATGTGTGTTGCTGCATCTATATATATGTGATTCTTGTGCTTTTTCTTTGGTTCTTTTTCTTGTTTGATTTTTTTCATATTCTGATTTTTTATGGTATTTAATTTTACTTTATTATTATTTCTTAGATGCAAGTTTGTTTTCTAAAGATAGGAGGGGATATGGATAGGAGGGGAGCTGGAGAGGAACAGGGAAAAGAAAAGAAAGGGAAACTATAATCAAAATATATTGTATGAAAAAAGCCTATTTTCTTTATTTTATTATTTATTTGATGTATATAGATACTTTGTCTAACATGTACATCTGCATACCAGAAGAAGGCGTCAGACAGTTGTGAGCTGCCATGTGGATGCTGGAAGTGAACTCAGGACCTTTGGAAGAGCAGTGAATACTCTTAACCACTGAACCACCTCTCCAGCCCGTCTATTTTCAATAAAAGAAAAAAAAATACTTCTTGAAAATTCTGGAGGTTGTAGATATAATACTCTGTCACAACATCATTTTTTCCAGTGGACAAATGTAAACACCAGCAACCCAAATAAGAGCAACATGAAGGCAAAATTTTCATCCAATGCCAAAGATGAGTGTGGGAGAGACCACGGCTATTCAGTAGCCCTTACATACTCACTGTCTGCAAGGCTTGAAAGGGTGCTGTGCTAATGGATGCTGAGATTCCACTTGCAGGAGGTAACTGGAAGCCCTTTGACAAGGGGGGATTTGGAGAAGTAAGTGCAGATGCTGGCTTACTTGTGGAAACGGCCATCTGTGGAGGAGAAATGCAGCATCAGCCACACTTGCCATACATATGACAGGAGGTTAATTTACACTAAGCCCCAAGCTGGCACAAGTCAGCAAGTTCTTTAGGATGACATGGGAACACAGGAATGCAGAGAGCAGCGTTTGCTTACAATTTTTAAATCTCGTCTGCTGAGGATGCACACTAGCATTTGCTTTTTGATAGGGTGCTGACAAAGTGTGTATCACACAAGGGGCTCACAACTTCCTCCACCACCAAGCTCCCTACAAGCTCTGAATTGCTATTTTCCAACTAATAATCTAATATTACTCTGAATATAAGCAAAGACTGAGTTTAAGAAAAACTTGGGGAGTTCCTTAGTGTTAGTTCTCTATTTAAAAGATTAATGAATTCCTAAGTCCTCTGCCAAAAAAAACAAAAAAAAAAACAAAAAAAAAAAACACAACTCATATAATTTAAGTAATCTTTACCTATAAAGCCAAATTAGTATGACATAAAACCCAATCCCTACAAGATTATAAAGGAGATCACTACAGGTCACTTAGTAAAAGTCACTTTTTTTCGTGTCATAAAGAAGTTATCTATCTTAATTTAGACCAAATGAGTACTATAACAACTAACTATCTATGCTTTCTTATAGTCTATAATGAATTCTCCTTTATTAGTTCACCTCAAAACTCTAACCTAACAGTTACTGAATTTCCCCAAAATTTATCCCATCTGTGTCTATCTAGCTCAAGGATTTGCTCAAACAGCAAAGCTGAAATTTAGAACTACACACACAAACCTCATACTGTCAAGATTCTGCATTTTTTGTTTGTTTGTTCTTGGAGTTTCTCTCTGTAACCCTTGACAGCCTTCAACTCCCTTCCTAGACCAGGCTGGTCTCAAACTCAGAGACCCAACTGCCTCCTGAGTGCTGGGATTAAATGGGGGCGGGGGTTGTCACCACTTCTGGCTTGTTAAAATGCTTTTGATAAGATGAGTCAGAGAGACTGTAACTCATTCCAACTCAGTGCTAATAACACTATAAAAAAACAAATCTTCAGTTAAATGAATATATTTTCCCTAATCCTAATCCTACCTAAAGCTTCTCTTTCTCTCTCTCTCTCTCTCTCTGTTTTTGCTTTTCTCTTTTTTAAATTAAAATTTCAATAAGAAACTTAATTCTTTGTTATTTTAAAGATCTACTTTGTTTTTAAGTATGTATGTGTGTGAATATATCTATTTTTGTGCATGTGAGTATAAGTGTCCATGGAAGCCAAATGCCTCAGATTCTCTGTGGCTACAGTCACGGGTAGTAGTGAGCTTCCTGATGTGAGTGCAGGGAATCAAGATGCAGATTCTTTCCAAAATCAGTACATGTTCTTTTTTTTTTTTTAATAATTTAACTTTATTTTATGTGCATTGGGGTGAAGGTGTCAGATACCCTGGAACTAGAGCTACAGACAGCTGTGAGCTGCCATGTGGGTACAAGAATTGAACCTGGGTCCTGTGGAAGGGCAGCCAGTGTTCTTAACCGCTGAGCCATCTCTCCAGCCCGTCCCTCAGTACATGTTCTTAATCACTAAACCAACCATCTCTGCAGCCCTGGATGCTACTTATTAAAATTAATTAATAAAGTAGTAACTAAGCTGAGTGATACTTTCCTGTAATCCCAACACTTGAAATGGATCAGGAATTCAAGATCAGCCTGAGCTACAGGAGATCAAAACAAAAAATAGGGGGCTGGAGAGATGGTTCAGAGGTTAAGAGCAGTGACTGCTCTTCCAGAGGACCTGAGTTCAATTCCCAGCAACCACAGGGTGGCTCATAACCATCCGTTATGAAATCTGGTGCCCTCTTCTGGCCTGCCTGCACATATGCAGGCAGAACACTGTATACATAATAAATAAATAAAATTTTTTAAAAAAAGTAATAAATAAAATTAAAAAAAAAAAAGTAATAGGCTGGGCATTGGTGGTGCATGCCTTTAATCCCAGCCCTTGGGAGGCAGAGGCAGGGGG